ATATGAGTGGGTGACTACCCCTCTGAATATAATCTGCCGGTAAGGCGCTCCCCTCCCGGCGGGGTCGGGCAAGGGATGCTCTTCCTCGGACACTCTCCCCCTGAATGTATTAGGTGGGAGTAGAGGACTCTTACTCAAGATTTCCAATGGAGAAGCTTATAGGTCCCTGCACAATATAAGCTGACGACGCGGAGCTGGCAATAAATGATGTATGTGTGTATGTATGAATGTATGAGGTATGATGCATGAATGTATGTATGCATGTAATGTATGAGTGCAATGTAAGATGTGGCATAAAGTGGTAGATCTCTTTGATAAACTGTACATGACGCCACCGAGGGGCCGATCATGCTACATAAGATGGGTCCCCCATCCGGTACGGCATGGGCGGAGCCGAAGATGAATTAGACACTATGCCGCTGAGGGGCCAATCGTGCTGCATAAGAGACGTTCATCGCCATCCTGGAAAAAATGCGCGATTTGAACGTGGAAACGACACGATGGCGCTGAGGGGCCGATCGTGCTACATAAGACGGGTCCCCCATCCTAGAAGGTATGGGAGGAGCCGAAGATGGACTAGACACGATGGCGCTGAAGGGCCGATCGTGCTGCATAAGACGGGTCCCCCATCCTATAAGGTATGGGCGGAGCCGAAGATGAACTAGACACGATGGCGCTGAGGGGCCGATCGTGCTGCATAAGACGGGTCCCCCATCCTAGAAGGTATGGGCAGAGCCGAAGATGGACTAGACACGATGGCGCTGAAGGGCCGATCGTGCTGCATAAGATGGGTCCCCCATCCTAGAAGGTATGGGCGGAGCCGATGATGGACTAGACACAATGGCGCTGAGGGGCCGATCGTGCTGCATAAAGACGTTCGTCGCCATCCTAGAAGGGATGAATGAGCCGAACAGGAGCCAGACACGATGGCGCTGAGGGGCCAATCGTGCTGCATAAAGACGTTCGTTGCCATCCTGGAAGGGATGGGTGAGCCAAACATGAGCCAGACACGATGGCGCTGAGAGGCTGATCGTGCTGCATAAAGACGTTCGTCGCCATCCTAGAAGGGATGGGCGAGTCAAACACGAGCCAGGCACGATAGCGCTGAGGGGCCGATCGTGCTGTATAAAGACGTTCGTCGCCATCCTAGAAGGGATGGGCGAGTCGAACACGAGCCAGGCACGATGGCGCTGAGGGGCCGATCGTGCTGCATAAGACATCCGTCGCCATCCTAGAAGGTATGAGCGAGCTGAACAAGAACTAAACACGATGGCGCTGAGGGGTCGATCGTGCTGCATAAGACGTTCGTCGCCAAACTGGAAGGGATGGGCGAGTCGAACACGAGCCAGGCACGATGGCGCTGAGGGACCGATCGTGCTGCATAAGACGTCCGTCGCCACCCTAGAGGGTATGAGCGAGCTGAACCGTAAATCCCGGTGCTGTCCTTCGTGTCTCATATGGGCAGCTGATCTTCGTTCGTCTACCGTATCCGTGGTCCTATGTACGGACCACTAAGCGGTGTACACTCGGCACACAACAGACTCCGGGAAAGAACTGGTCCCTTCTGCCTGATCTGGGGAGCTGGTCTTCGTTCGTCTACCGTATCTGTGGTCCTATGTACGGACCGCTAAGCGGTGTACACTCGGCACGCAACAGACTCCGGTAAAGAACTGGTCCCTCCTGTCTGATCTGGGGAGCTGGTCTTCGTTCGTCTACCGTATTCGTGGTCCTATGTTCGGACCGCTAAGCGGTGTACACTCGGCATGTAACAGACTCCGGTGGAGATCTGGTCCCTCCTGTCTGATCTGGGGACCCGGTCTTCATTCGTCTACCGTAACCGTGGTCCTATGTACGGACCGCTAAGCGGTGTACACTCGGCACACAACAGACTCCGATAAAGAACTGGTCCCTCCTGTCTGATCTGGGGAGTTAGTCTTCGTTCATCTACCGTATCTGTGGTCTTATGTACGGACCGCTAAGCGGTGTACACTCGGCACACAACAGACTCCGATAAAGAACTGGTCCCTCCTGTCTGATATGGGGAGCTGGTCTTCGTTCGTCTACCGTATCCGTGGTCCTATGTACGGACTGCTAAGCGGTGTACACTCGACACACAACAGACTCCGATAAAGAACTGGTCCCTCCTGTCTGATCTGGGGAGCTGGTCTTCGTTCGTCTACCGTATCAGTGGTCCTATGTACGGACCGCTAAGCGGTGTACACTCGGCACACAACAGACTCTGATAAAGAACTGGTCCCTCCTGTCTGATCTGGGGAGCTAGTCTTCGTTCGTCTACCGTATCTGTGGTCCTATGTACGGACCGCTAAACGGTGTACACTCGATTGACAATTAATTCACCTAGACGACAAACCAATTAGTCGGAGCGCCTAGAAGAAAATCGGAGCGCCCGGCCACCGCCTAGTGCCTAGGCGGGGACTAGTCGAATGCCTAGAACAATTTTTAGAACAGAGACAAAACCTAAAGGAATTGCTTTAATTTCTAAAGCAATTGATGGGTTGAGAAAGACTAACAACGCCTGTTCCGAATTATGTTCGTGTATAGTCATTTCCCCACATCCTTTGCAAAGGATGATTTATCCTTCGTAGTGCGGTATAAATAAATCCTCCCTCAATTCGAGTGGGTTCATCGGCCCGCCTTTCAAATGGGCAAATCGTTCCCCCTGTGCACATGATTAGGCGTGTTCCGATTTTAGTATTGATCAAATGACGTTCTGACCTATCCACTAATATATGAATACGAAAAAATATTTTTAAAATCATGTTACAACACAGACACACACTCGTATATAATTAGGTTGAAATGAGAAAATGATCTTAGGAGAGGAATAAGAATGATTTTAAACTATCAGATTGTATTTTGTAAAATTGAATGTGCATTTGTTGAAATTGAAATGTGCATTAGATGAAATCAAAATCTGCAACACAAAAGGTACGACACAATATCATTATGTGAAGCTGATTGTGCATTAAGTGAAACTGAAATATGTATTAGGTGAAACTGAAATGTGCAGATTAAAAGCTACGATGTGGTGGCATTTGTGTGCACATTTCAATTTCCTAAAAATGCACATTTGAGTTTTATCTTTTATTCTGCACATTTCTATTCACCTAGTGCACATTTCAGTTTCACCAAATGCGCAATTCAGATTCACATAATACAATTCAACAGTTTGAATTCATTATAATTTTTGTCTTGGGAGTTCTTTCTCACTAGAGATCAAGGACTATAGTAAGCGAGAGTTCTCAAAGTAGTCAATCATTAATAGGCATAGGCTTACCTAAATCCGGACCAACAACCACATCATTTGGATTGAAATCCACACATGGATGTTTGTTCTTATTGTTTTTCTCATTAGAGTCCAGCGGTCGGACTTTTTGGAAGACACGTTGCCGCTAGGTATTAGCAATTCATCCATCAATAATCTATTAAATCACGGAGTATTGCGCCATACATTGAATAATTTAACATGCCAGTTGACCATGAAATTTTCAAAATCCCCAAAAAAATGCCTCTTTCTTATTTCTCTATTTTCCCCTATTCTTGGTCATGTTCTGTATCTCACCCAAGTCACAATGAACATGGCATTTGTATCCTCTGCTAGAGCTGCCAAGAGGTATGAAAAAGGTGTGCCCGCGGGCTACAATAGTACAAATTGTACAATTATGACAAAACCGTACAAGAGGTTGCCTCCATGAAGATGATGTTGCCTCTACTGTCAAGGTGATTGTATTGCACACCGGGAAGGGCTTCATTGGTTGGTACTAGTCCATCAGAGAAGTTGTTGAGTCTAGGGAGTTTGATGAGCTCGCCACAAAACTAGTGGGGACAATGCCTTTTCCTGCCTACTTGCCTTCTTTGGGGTTCACCAGATCACACTCGATCTCAGATGCATGTTACACATTCACCCCTTCGTTAAAAGCCAATTTCAACATGACTTATTTGTATGAAGAATAAAATGAATATAATTGATTTTAACAGAATGCAACTAAATGAAAAATAGCATAACATGACTGAGTATGACAGACCACAACAAATCAATATGAGACTGATACCAAATATCATTGTCATTTCAGTTCATAAAATTCATTGTATACTACCTCCGTCCTGGTAGACTTTGCCAAGTGCAAATTAGATGAGAAATAAGAATAGTAAAAACTGTGTGGTTGAAATTTGTGTAGAAGAGAGAGAAATGTGCAGAACCACAAATTAGTTACTTTAACAGGAAAGTGACAAAGTTTTTTGGGACAAGTAAAAAAGGAAAATTGGCAAAGTCCAATGGGACGGAGGGAGTATTATACTGTCCAAGATAGAGATCAACTATGCTTACATTTTAATTACTTCTATGTGTCTTTGAGGTGCAAGAAAATGTTTTATAGTTTGGTTTGAATTTTATCCGGTCAGAAGCATTGCGACTCTCATGAGTGTATTTATCATCAAAGCATTCACTTAGTGAAATAATTTGCTCAATTTGAGAAGTTCTTTACTATATCTGACGAGTGAGTAAGCCGACGTTCGGCTTTGGAGTAAAATACTTCGTACAAAGGAGGCCGTGAATTTGAAACTGATAATAAAATTTGGGTCATTACACATTGTGGTTAACACCTCTTGTACACCCTTTTGTTTACGAGGATATTTCCGGATGAATTGTATTTTTTTTGTTACAAATTGTCTGTGTGCACCAACAAAAATAAGATATGTCCACCTAATTTTTTTCATAAAATTTAGGATCTGTTGTGAAATAAAAAAGATAAAGACTAAATAAAGAGATAGATATCATAAGATCTAAATTATACTTCTTCTTAATATAAATATTTTCTGAATTTCTTAGTTTCTGAATTACATTTACAAATGATTAAGCACCCTATTTATACTAGTTGGCTAGGAGATGAATCATCAAAAAATAATTCTACATAATTTGCTGGTAACATTAAGCCAAACCATCTGTCTATTACAAGAACTAAAATAGTATCAGTGTCCTCATGACAAGTGCCAAGTGCATCCAAAAAATAAAATCAAGAAAGCAGTGTTTGACCTCAGTGCTAGGACCATTAATGGGAAGTTAGTCTCGGCCAAAATATATGACCTCTTAAGAATTAAAGGGAACCCTAGGACTCCAATGAGTTTCATTTAGAAGTCCTATATTCCTCCAAAATTCTCTTTTAATGTTTGGTTGGCCTTAAGGAACTGACTACCCACCCAGGATAGCCTCGGTTACCTAAACATGGTCAATAGATGTGACTTGTGCAAAAGTGGATTGGAAACAATCCCACACTTATTCTTCCTTTGCCCCTTCACTTGTAGGGTATGGGACAAGATTAGAGAATGGATGGGACTTGGGCACGAAATGACTACTCTGCTTAGCTCAATCAAATGGATCACGAAGACCCACAAAGGGTCAACATTGAAAGCAAAAGCGGCAAGACTTGCGTTCTGTGCATCGGTCTACTATATTTGGCATACAAGAAATGAGAACTTATTTGATGATGGAACAAAAACAGAGGATAATGTGATAGCAAAGGTCAAGCATATGGTATATAAAATACTTTTTAGTATTTACCCATATGACCTGATCAAATTTTGATGGACCAAAGCTCCCTATTGGCAGACTGCGACATTGCTTATTAGACTGCGGCATTGCTTATTAGACTGCACATTTAGTGTCAAAGTCCAAACTTGGGATGGGCATATAGATAACATTTTTGTTTGTACTAGCGTGTGTGCCCTTGCAACACCTTGACTTCTTTTGACTCCTTTTTTTTTGGCTGATTTTAATCTCTGTGTGTGCAACATGTAGCACAGATTTTGATTTTGTTTTTTGGCCAGTGTGTGGCTTTAGACTAGACTTGTCTCTTATAAAGAACCTCTTATCCCCTCACTGTGAGGGGGTGGGGAGGTTTTTGTAGAAGTAGGACACATGTATATGTTAAATTTTTCTAGGTGTTAATATAATTTACATTTCATCAAAAAAAAGAAAGGAGTGTTTGAATAAAGTCTCGCGGATAAGACTCGGGAGCCGAAACGGGGAGGAACTAAACGGTCCTGGAGTCATGTTGAAATGAGCTCAAAAAGGGGGACGAATGTTGAATGTTCTTCATCTTTGCAGTAGCCGTTGCCACAAAAGAACAAAAAACCCTCCCCCCTTTGGTCTGGAAAAGCTATACAAATCTGTAATTATATGAATTAGATGTGCCGCCCTTGGGAGAGCCGAGACCTTATATATAAATGATAGGTAATAATAGTAGTTTACAATAATTACAAATATGCCCTAGAGATATAGATTATTACACCCCCTCAATCTGTGCAGAGGAAATAACGTGCAGATTGGATCTTAAAAATTCAAAACGTTGACTAGATAAATTTTTAGTGAAAATATCTGCAAGCTGATACTGGGTCGGTACATATTTGACGATGAGGTCCCCATGAGCTACGCGTTCACGGACAAAGTGATAATCAATCTTGATATGTTTACTACGATCGTGCTGGATAGGATTGACCGCCAGATATGAGGCAGAGACATTGTCGCAATGGAGCTGAACTGGAGCAGAAATAAATAAGCCCATATCTGCTAGTAAGGAGCGAATAAAAATGGTGTCCTGTACAGTATATGCAATTGCCCGATATTCCGCTTCTGTGGAAGATTTTGACACAGTGGGCTGTTTCTTGGAACGCCATGAAATAAGATTATTGCCTAGAAAAATTGCATAGCCAGTGGTGGAGCGACTACTATCCGGACAACCGGCCCAGTCAGCATCAGAATAGGCAACAATAAGAGAAATGTTTCGATCAGAATGAAGCCAAAGACCGTGTGTCACTGTGCCCTGCAAATATCTATAAATTCTTTTGACAGCAAAAAGGTGAGAGGTTCGCGGAGCATGCATAAACTGAGAAACCAGATGTACGGCATAAGTAATATCAGGTCTAGTTATAGTTAAATATTGTAAGGCACCTACCATGCTGCGATACTCGGTAGCATCAGTTAAGAGTTCCCCATCTGTAAGAGAGAGTGTAGTGCGAGAAGGTAAAGGAGTACGGACTGGTTTAACAGTGTGAAGATGAAAACGGTGTAGCAGGTCAGTGACATATTTATGTTGGGATAGAAATAGACCTCGGGGTGTACGTTTAGCCTGAATGCCTAAAAAATAGTGTACATCACCTAAATCTTTCATAGCAAACTGAGAGGAGAGAGTGCGAATAACTGACTGTACGAAAGATAGGGAGGAGCCAGTGATTAATATGTCATCAACATACAAAAGAATGTATACCACATGCGACTGAGAACGGTAGATAAACATGGAAGAATCAGACTTACTCTGAGTGAAACCATGAGTAAGTAAGAAACCACTAAATCTATGAAACCAGGCTCGTGGGGCCTGCTTGAGCCCATATAGGGCCTTGCGCAGGCGACAAACATGATTAGGATAAGTTGGATGAATAAATCCTGGAGGCTGACGCATATACACCTCTTCGGTGAGATGACCATGAAGGAAGGCATTCTTAACATCAAGTTGACGAACGGACCAGCCTAAGGAGATAGCAACAGATAGAACAAGGCGAACTGTGGTGGGTTTTACAACTGGACTAAAAGTTTCCGTAAAATCTATCCCTGCTTGCTGTTTAAACCCTTGAGCCACCAAACGAGCTTTGTGTCGCTCAACAGACCCATCAGAATGGTATTTAGTTTTGTAAATCCACTTACATCCAACCACATTTTGAGTATAATTACTAGGTACTAAATCCCAAGTCTTATTAGCAATTAATGCGTTAAATTCATCCGCCATGGCAGCCCGCCAAACAGTACTTTTATTAGCTTGTGAAAAACATGTGGGATCATCCGAGGGAGAAAGAGCACTAAGAGTAAAAATTTGTTTGGGTTTAAAAATACCATCTTTGGATCTTGTGCGCATTGGATGGACATTTTGAGGTCTGGGCAAGAAAGGTAGAGGATCTGCCGAGTTGATAAGTGGGAGATTAGTGGGGTCGGTTGGTTGGTCAATTAAGGAAATAGTGGGGGAGGATGTTCCAGGAGGTACGGGGGAGTTTTGGCTTGCAATGGGGAGTATGGGTGATTGTGGAGAGGGAGGATTATTGGTTTGGACAGCTGTGGGAGTAGCACTGGGCGTATCATGTGGGCTGGCAGTAGGTTGTTGATTAGGAATGAGATGGGGTGATGACATTATTGATGAGGCAGGAACCGTGCATGTGGGTGTCCATGAGTGTAATGGGAAGGAGGATAAGGGAATAGATTTGGGTGGGATTAATGAGGTGTAGGGGAAAAGGTGTTCAATAAATTGAACGTCACGACTAATGTATACACGGCCTGAAGATGGATCAAGACAACGATACCCCTTATACCCCGGTGCATATCCAAGAAAGACACAAGGAGTAGAACGTGGTGAGAGTTTGTTGGAAGACTTGGCAATAAAGTTAGGAAAACAAGCACATCCAAAAACCCGTAAAAAATCATAATCTGGAATTTTGTTAAAAAGCTTCTGATAAGGAATATTACCGCCCAGAACTGGCGTGGGTAGCCTGTTAATGATGTAAGCAGCAGTGTATAGAGCATCTACCCAAAATTGAGGAGGTAAAGAAGAATCAATTAATAAAGTTCGAGTTAATTCAAGTAAATGTTTATGTTTGCGTTCAGCAACACCGTTTTGAGCAGGAGTGTCAGGACAAGATTTTCGGAACAAAATACCAGATTTTAAAAAATGGGTTTGAAATAAAAAATTATCAAATTCACCCCCTCCATCACTTTGAAAAGATTGAATTTTTCGTTCTAGGATATTTTCAACTAGTTTTTGAAAATTGCAAAAATGAGTAAAAACTTCAGATTTACGTCGCATAGGATAAACCCAGGTAAAGCGAGAAAAATCATCAATAAAACATACATAATATTTAAAACCTAAGTTAGAAGGAACAGGAGATTGCCAAACATCAGAATGAATAAGTTGTAAAGGTGCATTTAAACAGTGTGTAGCATCTTGAAAAGGTAGTCTGTGGGATTTTCCCAATTTGCAAGAAACACAATCATGAACAAAATTACTAGAACTAGAAATAAAGAACTGTTGCCGAAGCTTATTTAGAACTCGGTCACCACAATGTCCTAATCTCTTATGCCAGACCGGACCAGAAACAATGCGGGCTTGAAAGGCAATAAAGGGATAGACGTGATCTTTATTGGTAGCTTGAAGAAGCGGTTCCCCCGTGTGATTGTCCTTAACAGAAAAAGAGTTTTTATTAAAAACAACTGTACAACCATTATCCGCACACAATTTTTGAATAGACATTAAATTATATTTAAGGTGTGGGACATGATATACAGAGTTTAATATTAGCGGGCGACCTTGAGTAATTAATTTAACATTGCCAATATTAGTTATAGGAAGTGTAGTACCATCAGCAATTTTAACACTATTGTGACCAGTGTAAGGGGATTTGCCAGTAAGTATACCTTCGTTAGGTGTCATATGAGCGGAAGCGCCTGAATCCGGGTACCACACCGAAGCATTTGATGTGTCAATGGGTAAAGCAGCTAAAGCAGGGGTTGTTTGACCCGTGAAACGGGGACAAGCAAGTGCTGAATGTCCTGGAGAAAAGCATATCTGACACACTACTGGCGGTGGTGGAGCCTGAAAATTGTGGTCTACATTGGGAAAAACTGCACTGGCTTTGTGAATAACACGAGATGGCAAATGATACAAATTAAAATAACTAGGACAATAATTACTTATGACCATACCTGGAGCCCCTGCTGGCATATTAGCTCTTGGTCCATGCGCATGAAAATTTTGGCCATGTGGTGCTGCCTGCTGTCCGTAATGAGGATAGCCATACCCACGGCCACGTCCACGATGGCCCCGAGCTCGGCCGCCCCGGTATCCACGGCCGCCGCCTGCATGTCCCCTCTGGCCGCCACCTCCACGGGCTGGAGCACCTCGACCCAGATGTGGTGCCGCTGCATCAGGAGCAGCAAAGGCTTGATGAGGCGGTTGTACTTCTTCTGACCGGAGGAAAGCATTTCTTTGTTCTTGTGCTAGGAGGATGGGCCGCAGAGAGTCAATTGTGACGTTGCCCGGAAAATAGGTTATGGCAGTCACTAGGGATTCATAATCTCTTCCAAGGCCAGAAATAGTGTATTCTATCAAGTCCCGATTGCTAACCGGGGAGTTGATGGTAGCAAGGTTATCGGCTATGATCTTAATATCCCGCAAATACTCATCCATGGACTGATTTTCACGCTTTTTAAGATGAGATAAAGTTCTTTTTAACTCCATGGACCGAGCAATACATGCGGATGAAAAACGATGTTGCAGACGCTCCCAAATGTGATGGGAAATCTTAAGATCATGAACATCGATTAACACCTCCCGTGACAAAGTCGCAAAAAGCCATGACCGAACGGTGTGGTCAATTTTTAACCAATGAGGGTAATCCGGGTTTGGGATTTCCGTACCGGACAAACTTTGAATAAAAGGAGATGGGATTAAAATCGAGCCATCTATAATCCCAAGAAGATTGTGGGATATAAGAAAGGATTCAACTTGTGTTTTCCACGGGAGATAGTC